ATTCTTAAATATATGCACTTTGATTGTTTCATCTCCAATACTTTAATTGTCATCTCCAATACTTTGATTGTATTCATTTTGTTACTATTAAAAACTTACTATTAAATTTAATCTTGTTGCTTGATAAATTGGAAAAAATAGAACATCACTCATAACACCTGCTTCTGCCCCCGGACAGTGGGCTCAGCCTCCAGCACGAGACATGCAGTAAGAGTGCTTGAGCTGTATCCTTCTTCAAAGGGAAAATTTATTACAATTGCCATACACTTGTTTAACTAAATTTTGCTTGCCTAAATGCTTGAATAAACTGTTTGGCTTGTCAAACCCTTTGGATGTCTCTGAAGTCCCTGCTGGAGCCTCAACATGACAGAAAGGACCCATGGGGAGCCTCTCGCCCTCCCCACTCCCTGGTTTCACTGCTACCCACTGTGCAGAGTGGCCCCATGACAGCTCCCACAGTACTTCCCTCTCCCCAGCCTGGACTCAGCTCCTGCACCCCAGCATGACCTAGACATACCTGTGGGGTGACCCCATTTCTTGGGGCCCTCCCCACACAGCATATGTGGAGCCCAGTAACAAAACCCCTGGGCCAGCCAGCCCTGCTGGACATCTGTGACCAGCTCTTTGTCATATTTCCCCCAAAGACCAGAGGATTGGGACAGCCTTTGACTACCTGACATCCCCACTCCTATCTTACAGCCCCCTGCAGTGGTGGAGCTGAGGTGCCAGTGCTCCTGGGTGCTGCTGTCCCCACACATACACTCTGTGCACAGTGCTGCCAGAGGAGCAGGCAGGAGCAGGCAGCATTGTCTGTCCTCACGCCATTGCCCAGCGCTGGGGACATGAGTGGGACATCTCTGCAGGTGACACCAGCTCTGCCCCTGGGCCATGCTCTGCCCTGCACCACTTCTGCTTGGGCCAGGACACACAGAACTATACCATAAACTGGTCATTCGAGGTCACAGAAGTAAGGGAACTGGAGAATGACATCCAACAAGCCAACCTAAGCAAACTAATGGTGCTGCAGCTCCTCTCTATTTCTAAAAATGTTTAGTGTAGCTCAAAAACTCAAGCAAACAGATGCATAAAGCTGTGCACAAGTATACTCAACACTAGAAGACTGAGAACCTGCTGGAGTTTATAGAGCGTAGAAGTTGAATTTATTTGCAGAGCCCCTGAACACTCAATCAGTATTTCAAATGACAGACAAGATAAAACCACCTATTCCAAAATGACTCAGTAATACATATATACACTGTAATAATGAGATTAAAATAAGCTCTAAATTCTAAAACTGATGGGCTTCCTTCTGCAACATCAGCTTGCTGTACTTCAATGTGTACTTCAAAGCTCACTTCAACTACTCTTCCATGCAATGCATAGTGCAATGCTTTTGCCCACTTCTGCAGTTCAGTCTTATAGCAACAGCTTCTAAATTAGTAACACTGAAAATCTCTTAGGAAAAATGTGAAAGAGAAAACACAAGACTTTTATATAACTTACAAAGCAAAACTGAAAGTCCAGTAAAAATTCTCTCTGGGGCACTGTTTTCATAAAACTCATTATAGTTTAGGCAATCTATTTGTTCTTATATATACACCAACCCTGGATTAAATACTGTGCATTTTAACAGCAACATGGAGTTCTTTTCTGAACACAGCTTGATTTAATTCCCTCCCAAAACTGCCTGTTGATCACTGCACTCTGGCTGGCTCCTTGAGGAGGAGACACTGGTAGGAGGTTGGCACCATCAGGACTGGCTCTCCTGCCCAAGAGTGTTGGAACCCAGAAACGTGGGAGTTTTGAGCTTTCTGACACTGACCCCCAGAACACTGCTTTTGACTTGAGGCCTTGGAGAAAGCTTCCAAATTTGAGTGATGGAGTCATGAGTGTGTAGTTGGAATAGAAGTCTGTGGTTTCACATGGTGACGGCTTTTGAATTTGAAGGTTTCATAATATAGTAGTAGGTATGGGACAAGATGGAGGGTTTTGGGTATTGTCTCCTTTTCAGTGTTCTTCTTTCTTATTCTTCATGCTTTCAGGTAGCAGTTTCTGGTCGGATAGTTAGTGCTGCACTGCAGGTCACAGGAATTTGGTTATTGGGTCAAAAGTATAAATAATGTAGGTGTTAGTTCTTTATTGGACTGTTTAGCTTTAAAAGACCTTGTAACTAGCTAGGTTTTCCTCCATTTTGCTCGCTTGTAGCTGGTAGCTAGAAGTGTTACAGAACTATTAAATCTTATCTAAAGTACAGAAAAACAACCAAGTCCGTTGGAGAGAAAGGAGAAGGAGAAAATTCGTTTCCTTCGTGTTTTTAGTCCTGACTCTGAGTGAAGAGAGAAGAAAATGAAGACAAGCCGCTAATTACGTGGTGCAGTTAACCCTTTTACACAAGAGCTGAAGTCTGAGCACACACCACCGAGCCCAGAGCCATTCCCACACCTCATCCCTCGAAAACAACCCAACCTACGTCTCCCTGCCTTTCTCACATCCCTCCTGCCCACACCACCGAGCCCAGAGCCATTCCCACACCTCACCCCTCAATACCAACCCAACCCGTGTGTCCCCGCATTCCTCACATCCCTCCCGCCCTGGCCGCCATCCATCCCTGTGTGCCATCCCGGCTACAGGCGTCCTTCTCTGCCACCGCCAAGGGAGCACGGGGAAACCGCTCCCCACTCTTGCCTTCCGTCCTCTCCGAGCTGCTTTTCTCTATCTGTGTACTCTTGGACATTGTGCTAATACCTGAAAACTTTGTCTGATGAAAGCAGTGGCGGTCGAACCCGCTGCGGCCCCTTGTTCTCGCACAGCCGACATCAACACCGAGTGTTTGGGGAAAAACTACTCATAAAACGTGCCACGTCCAGCATATTTTGTGAAGCAAGCACTGAGGAGAATGGCACAAAGAGAAACAGCTCAAACCGAACCCTTCTGACGCTCCCCAGAACCCAAACCAGTCCCTGGATTTTCAACCCTCCTCGGCCTCGCCTCCGCTCCTCCAGCAGCGAGCTCCCCTCCCCGGCCGGGGGGGCGCGGTGCCCGCACGGCATCTCGGGAGTTGTAGTTCCCCGCGCGGCGCGACATGGCGGCTCTGTGGGCGCTGCCGGCCCTCGCCGCCGCGCTGCTTCTGGCTGCCGCCGGCCAGGCCAGCAAGTACTCCCGGGAGGCCAACGAGGGCCTGGCTGCCGGCGGCGGCAAGCGGCGGGAGGCCGGGGAGTTCCGAGTAGTGAGGCTGAACCAGGTCTGGGAGAAGGCGCAGCGGGTGAGTGGGGCGGCGCCGAGCGATGGCGGTGCGCGGAGGGGGCTCCGAGGTCGGGCCCGGCCGCTTCAGACACTCATTGCCCGTCAGGGAGATGGGGAGCAGCGGGGACCCGTGTGTGAGGAGAGACCGAGGCTGGCTGGCCCCGGCTCGGGGCTGCGGTGCCTTTTGTTGTATTCTCGGGCACGGCTGACCCCGACGGTCACGCAGCGAGCGCTCCCTCAGCCCCGCGGCTGGCCCTGCTCTCGGGACAGGGATGTGTGCCTGAGTCCTGGAGGTGTTGGCTGCCCGTATTTAAATACAGCAGCTAAAGCACCTGCCCAGCAAGTGGGAGAGAGAGGGGAGCCTCTCGTGTGCCATGGATCACCTGCGGCTGGCGCAGAGCTCGCTGGTTGAATGCTTTAGCCGTGCTCTTCGGGACTGTGGTGCTCTCGGCTGTCTGAAGGCGGTGGCCTCGGTTCCTGCTCTGCATGGGGCAGAAGTTCCCTGCAGGAGAAGAGGAAACCCTCCATCCTGGTGCTTGTATCGCCTACATTCACATCAAGTGATGTAAACAAATGCAAGAGTACCGGCAGATGGGTATCACCATTCCCAGATGAAAGCCTTGATTTTGACAGTGATACTTGAGTTTCTCTCACGGTGGACTACAAAAAATATTTGATTAAAGTGAAAATACAATCAAGTTATTTAATTGCAGTGGAAATATTTACTTAGAACTAAAAAAAAAACCAGCTCCAACAGGAGGAGAAGAATGCACTGCACATATCCCCTTAATATTGTGGACCGTGGGAATTAGGGTCATGACTGGCAAAGGTTCAGTTCTTTCAGGCAAAGAAATATAGTTAATATTAATTTTGATATTCTGCATCAGGGCATCCCTGTACATGATTAAGGTTTTTCTTTTACTTTAGCACATACTAAGAATGATAAATAAAGTGGTTCCTTTTAAGTGCTTTTTTTCTGTAAAGCAGTTCTCCAAAAGTAGATGGTAAAGAAGACAACGGGGACACTCCTTTGCTTTAGTATTAGAGGGATCAGAAGTTTTAATGTGTTCTATAAGTATTATATTTACCTGTGATTCTAACTACCCTAGATTTTGGTAATTTCAGTAAGCCAAGTGCAAAATGCAGAGAAAAATAGTTTAAAAATCAAAATAATTATATGCAGTGGCACAAGATTAATTAATAGGACAGCCTGTGATGGAAGCATAAACAATAATGTGGATAGTTTCCTGAATTCCTGTCAATAGGAAGTGCATTAGATCAAAGTAATGACACTTTTCCTAGTTACTTAAAAATAACCTACTGACACACACAAAGGAGTGGCTGATTCTTTTCAGTATCATTCTAGTGTTTAAAAACAATACTGAGTTCTGAGTCTGTGTTTATTAAACATGCTAATTCCTCAATGAAAATGAGAATTTTTATAATGTCTAAGCTGGTTTTAATGATTAAAATAAACCTCCAATAGATAAACATCCTAGGACTGAGGAGCCCAGGTGGTTTCAGACTGGATTTGAGCTCCCAGGAGCTGGGTGCACAGTAGTTGCAGGAGTTTTATCACCTCTGGACTCCTCACTTCACCTTCTGTTTATTAATGAAGTATCGAGATGGTTTGTTACATTTCTTTGTTTTAAACTGAATTGCTAAGGTTAAAATCTGGAAGTTCAGGATCAACTCACAGCAGTGCTGCTTAGCCAACCACCTATTAGTCATTTTTCCTGTTTTCTCTGGAGCTCACAAAATTTCAAGCTGACCTAGCATTCATTTAAACTAATGTTTGGGTTTTTTCCTATCTTCAGCCTCAGTGTCTTACCTTTTTTTTCCTAGTATGTCAGAGAGGAATACCTCTAGGTTTTGTATGTTTTAATGCACATAAACCACGTTAAGAAATTATCTGAGAAATTTTTTTTTCATTTTGATCATAGTAAAAATTGCTGATGAAGTGACTCTTTGACCTGCAAGACCACACTCAGTGACCTGGTAGACTGAAAAACTGTACTAACCAATAAAGTTTTTCAACTCTCTATAACAATATGGTTGGAAGATGGTCCATAAGAAAGCAC